TACATTTGTACCCCCAAACCTTTCGTATCACATTTAAAAAAAAAATCACTATTTTATTTAAAAAAAAATATTAATTTCACGAGGGAAAGAAATTAAAGATAAAGACAAGAATATTGAATGAAAAATCAAAAGGCTCCATCAAATGCAATAGAGAAAAGCAATAAATGAAATAACTAAACATAATTCAAAATTGCAACGGTATTGAGAAACAAAAGAAAAATAATAACAATAATAAAGAATTTCCTTCATTTTCTTTGGTGTTTGTGATTGAGACTCATTGAATTTTCTCAAGAAACTACACACACACATATATAGATATTAATTATTTCTTGAAAACAAAAACTACAATAAGAATCAGAGAATTAAATGCAAAAACAAACTTATTTATTGTGTGTTGAGTACTTTTAATAATTAAACATCATGAATTTTGTGTCTTCGATCCCTTTATATAGAGCACGACCAATACTTTTCCTCAGTTTTCTGCCCTTCAGTTGGTTATCAACGGTAAATGACAAAGAACTTTGTAATTTCATTGGAAAATTTGACCGGTTAAAGGACACGGAAGAAATGGAAACTAGAGGGTATCCAGCTCGTGACAAAAAAGAAGCTGAAGAATGAGAGCCGACAAATAATAACAAAGAGTCAAGAGGGAGAGATCATGTCAATTGGTCTGCAGAAACTGAAAGGAGGGAACCGACCGTAGAGAGAAAAGCAGACTAAATAGGTTGCTCATAAGAAACATAGAGTAGGGGAGTTGTAGGAAGCAACTCAGTCATTTGACTCACTTCCGCTCCAGCATGAGAACGTGAGCACCATTAGTGTGACGGTCCTCACCCCGCAGCGATCCGCGATCGACCGACTCAATAAAATGTCCAGATGATTATTGAGACCCAAGTCCCGCTGTGTGGGAAGACAAAAGCCCTTCCATTAGTCAGAGAGACCAGCAGGTAGTTGTTCAACCGCTTATTAGTGAGAGCCTTTTGATCATCTGGAGTGCATCAAATCCTTGGTACAAGAAAACCTGATCCTCTTTGATTGAGTAGACTCGTTATTATTTATTCTAAAATTTGATTATTCTTGCAGATGAGATTGTTCAAATCAACTCAATGATGATGGAAGTATGACATTTTCCTGTTCTAGCAGCGAATGAAGGTCCATCAGCTTTGGACCATGACAAAGATGCATTCAATCATTTTGTCAATCTTTTTAGAAGGATGTTGACAGGGAGCGATGGGCAGCGAGGAACACCATCGTCGCTGCCCTGTCAGATGGACGAGACAGTGGACTTCTTCACCCGGGAAGCAGGCTTGCAGAGGGAGGTGGCCATAAGGGTTCTATAGGAAGAACTGGTTGCCAGCAGCGAATGAAGGTCCATCAGCTTTGGACCATGACAAAGATGCATTCAATCATTTTGTCAATCTTTTTAGAAGGATGTTGACAGGGAGCGATGGGCAGCGAGGAACACCATCGTCGCTGCCCTGTCAGATGGACGAGCAATGGACTTCTTCACCCGGGAAGCAGACTTGCAGAGGGAGGTGGCCACAAGGGTTCTATAGGAAGAACTGGTTGCCCTTTGCCAGGAGCATATGGTTGACTTGTAGTCCCTCTAGGTAGACATGGAAACTCTTGGAATGGAATCGATGAACGTTTTGGCCACCTATTTAAACCTTTGTGTTCGGGCATAAGAGGACAAAGTTAAGAAGTTTAAGTTTGGAGGGTGAGCCTTGTAACAGAGTATAGTTAGTTGTAGCCTTATATCGACCGAGGCGACCAAATACTAAATTGTAAAATATTTTTTATCTTGAATAAATAAAAATTAATATTATTTTGTTAATTTTTTAAATCTTATCTGTCATTTCATTTTCTTGACTATTATGTTGGTTCAATGTGCATTTCCGTAGATCGAGGTACAAATCTACAAAGCTTCAAATTTTCTATGAACCCTATAAATGAGGGCCAAGAGAAAAAGGTTTTGCACATTTCAAATCTTTCTTTCCATGCCCTTCAGTCGTATTATATCTCTCCTCTTGAGTCAGTTCATTTCAAGTGGTTCGTATGGCTTCTAAATGTTTTCCCAAATTTGGTTTGGTGCGAGCGAAACGAGAAGTCTTGCCTTTCATTTTTTTTAATATAATAAATATTTTACAATAGTATCTTTGACTGCCTCAGTCGATACAAGACCACAACTCACTGGACTTTGATACAAGGCTCTCTCCCTACACTTAGACCTCTTAACCCTCTCTTCCTTCCGTCGAACTCGGAAGATCAAGCAAGTTGCCCAGAGCTTCGTCAACTCTGTTCAGAGAGTCACCATTTCCGCTCGGAGAGCCTGCAACTCAACCATTTATTCTTCACAAAGGTAGGTTAGTTCTTCTTTCTAGTATTTTATGACAACCTCCCTTTGCAAGTCATCTTCTTAGGGAAAAGAGTCTGCCTTTTTTGCCCATACGACAAGCTAGAGACACTGGTGATCCTTGTCGGTTGTTGATCCCCCTCTCAACATCTTAAGGAGGACCAGCCAGACGACCAGATGAACCTTCGCTCTGGGCCGAAGCCAACGATTCCTCTGCTGCCTCTTGAAATGGGGAATGATCGACTCTCATCATTGATGAGTCAATGATTCACATGTTCTTATTTGCAGTAATAATCAAATGTCAACAAAAAAAATAATAATAATAACAATTATGCTATATCAAAGAGGACCGAGTTTCTTCGTACCAAGGACTCGCTCGATTGTAGACGATCAAAGGCTCTCACTAAGAAGTGGCTGGACAACCACCTAACTGGTCTCACCAAATGATGGAAAGGCAAAGGTAGCCCACATGGTGGGACATGGATCTTTACAAATATCAATGCAGGGGCCAGGATTGCCACACCAGTGGGCCACACATCCTCTCAAATTCTCATGTCGTGATTGAGTGATATCTAGTCGAATGATTCAGGTGCTTCCTCCAACTCTCCACTCTCTGTTTTTATGGGCCACTTGTTTGATTCGCTTTTCTCCCTCTGGTTGGCTCCCTCCTTTCGGTATTTTTGTGTCGACCAATTGACTTTCTCCCTCCATTCTTTATTAGTGCATGTCAGCCCTCATCCTCCGACCTCTCCTTCAACACAGATCAACTACCCTTGGGTCTCCTTTTCTCCCTGCATCTTTAGAAGGATGGAGTTTTCCAGTTGAAATCCCAAAGGCCTTCAACATAGCCGCCTCATTCACTCCCTTAGCAGAAGCTTTCTTGTCACTCACCATAAGTATCTTTCATGTTGATGACCGATTGAAATGTAGAAAACTAAAAAAAAGTGATGGATAAATGCAAATCACACCATATTTATAAGAATTGCGGAAAAAAAATCCTGCAAGTTCAATTATTAAAAGTACTTATCACGCAATAAATAAATCAATTTTTTACTATTAGTTATCTTATTCTTATTGCAACAGCTGCTTTCAAGAAGAAGAGAATTGGGGACTAAATATGTACGTAAAAAATAAATCTTGAGGAAATCCAACAGGCCTCAATTATGAACACCAAATGATAGTGTATCAGGATGACAAAAAGATGAAAACATCAAGCATCGTTTCCTTTGGTTGGAACTCTAAGCCAACCAAACAGAAGAATGACAGAACAAAGAACTCGAAGGAGGCCAATCTAAGGGACAATAATTTATGATCAGGTCCCTCGGGTGACTCCAAAACTCCTAATGAAATGGCTAAAGGGCCCCACTAATTGCTTTTGTGATCCTCTGAGAAGATCCCCTGCCCAATAGGAGGTGCCTGTCAACTCATGATGGAACACCCTCTAGTTGATGACCCTAGTTCATCTTAAAAACATGTGGGTCTCTACTCATGATTCCCGTGAGAGGATCAACTGACAACCTTTTAGTCAGCTAAATGTATGCCGACCAAACAAAGACTTCAACTAATTGAGTGATAAGTTATCGGGTCATCAAATGCCCCTCTTCAAGTAGTTACGAAAAAAAAAATGGTGCCTGAGTCAATTACAAATATGAATATGTGTCATAATATTTTGTAACGTGTTTATTAATGTAGGGACAAGCATGTAACTTATCCATACCCCTAAAATCCATAAATTTGGTTCATTTATGTAATAAAAGACTACTAAATTTACTCTATCTAAACTCTTATGTTACTATGCGCCCTATTTCTCTCTTTCTTTATAGGTTTCTCTCATCTGTCCCATGCTCAATTTCTTAGGTATGATTTATAGGACATACTTGGATTCAACACACACACACACACACACACACATACACATATGTCATATGATTCAACACACACACATATACACATTTGTGCAGATTGAAGTTTACATAAATATATAGGAATTAAGCAGATATGTAAATCTTCAAAACTTCTTATATTATCCAAGTTAATTGTAATTAAACTCATAAAAAAACTAAGCCAAAATTTTGTTGTATCTACCTTCATCATGCTTTCTCAAATAGAAGTCTCTTTGCATAAATCTTAAGACCAAGTTTGATTGCAAGCAGAATTTAATTAGAATAGGATTTAATAAGTCCTATAAATGGGGATTTGTCAAATCATGAAGTCGTTAAATCCTAAATTATCTGGTATGTTAGTAAATCTTAATAAAATCATAAGAAACGCCATACAATTTTATCATTAATAAAATCTAAAAATAAATATTAAATAAAAAATACAAATGAATATCCAAAACCTCAAAGTACATAAAAGATCATTTATATTAATTAATAGTTAATAATATTTTTTTTAAAAACAAAAGGCCCATTAAACAATAATTTAGCATTAGTTTAATATTAATTAATTAGCAACTAATTAAATTATTAATAAATTTATAAATTAAAAATCACATAAAATGTTATTAGACAATTTAAATTACGTATCTATCAATTAATTAACTATTAAATGATCACATTTAAATAAATAAATTATAAATTATTAATTAATTCAATTTCTAAAAGTAACTTGAACAAAAATAAATTAAAACCAGAAACCTCCCTCCCCTTCCCCTATGCCAAACCCTCGCCTCCGTCCCGCCCCGCCCCCACTACCCCTTCCCGCTTTGGTTCAAAACCCTCGCTTATGTCCCTCCCCCTTCCTGGTTTCGCCCAAAACCGTCGCCTTAGCGAACGAACATTCGCGATACATTCGCCATTAGAGTTAGCTGGGAAGGCAACGATGGGATCGCAGCTTACAGAGAACACCGAAACTCCCATCTCTGTAAAAAGCTGATTTTATCGCGAGTCGGCGTCATTTTGGGATTTAGGGTAGCTCTTTTTTCCATTCGGCAGGATTTATCTTAAATCCCGCGTATATCCTGCTCAAAACCCGCTACCAAACAGCCATAGAGCTCCTCCTCGACGTTTCCTTCCAACGATGGGCATCTTTGAGCCATACCGGGCCATCGGTTACATAACCACGAGCGTACCCTTCTCTGTGCAGAGGCTGGGGACCGAAACTTTCGTCACTGTCAGCGTTGGCAAAGCATTTCAAGTATACGATGTGAGAGGCCCCTTGTTCCTCATTTTTTTCTGGTCTAATTGCTGAGCTTGTTTTGTGAAGTTTAATTTACCATTAAGTCTTTATATTACACCGGACAGATAAATTTACTTCTTAAAAAAAAAAGATTTTTCCTTATGTGATTGTTCGTTGAAAGTACGTTGGATATCCTTAGGCTTGTTTAGACACATCGCTCCCTTCTGCTCTCTTCCATCATGGAGGCAGTTAAATTTACTATTGCAGAAAGATTTAGTTTCCAAAGTACGGTCTTTCATTTCTGTTATCTTTTAAATGCGATATTTAAAGCTTCGTTCCTTTGCATCAATAGTTTAATAACGTTTTTTAATTCATTATATTGATTGTGATAACTTTATCCTTTTTTTTTTTTTGCAGTGCGCTAAATTGACTTTGGTAGCAGTTGGTGAGTTTTCATATCTCTCAAGGACATTCTGTTGATTTCATGTCATTTCTCTTTCCCAGTTACTGATTGTTTTTTTGATGCATTTACATACATATCACTCAATTCCTATGCATTCACATATTCAGCACCTGAAATTTAATTTTTTATATTTATGCCACTCAAATCTTTCATATCACATCAAGAACTCTACCATTATAACTTTCAAAATGTAAAATGCACCTTTTATTGCTTAGGTGAGTTGTTATGAAGGTAAAACTTGAAGTTTAAGCGTTAGATATGGAAATACGCAAGAATTGAGTGGTATGTATGATGCGCTACTGCTGTCCCTCTTCATTGCTCTCATTTTTGTCCTTTTACCCATTTCTATCATTCTTTTGGTTTTGTAACTTTAATAGCTATCTTTGAAATGTTTGTAATATCTACAATTCCATGTCAACCTTTTTGCAATTTTAGGCAACTTCTTATTCTTTAGTTCGTATAAGATAAGTCAAAGGAAGCGAGTGATTACAGAAATTACAAATAGAAATAGCTGCAGTGCTGTCTGATGGAATGACTCTTTTGCAAAGCATCACATGATGAACATATGCCAAAGTTACTTTTAATGAACCTTCGGCAAGCTACCTTTCATATGAAAAGAAAAGGCCACTGAGGATGAGATAATGCCACAATTTATATAGAATTATGCAAAAATGATTTTGTTCCCCTCTCTCACAAACACAACATTTCAATTGAAGGAGCCCAGAACAGTTGTTTTTGTTATTTTCATCTAATCTATTCTAAATTTTCAGCTTGGGGGGCATTTTGTTGAAAAAAAAAAAAAAAAAAGAGATTTTTTTAGTACTCATTATTGTTAAAATCTTTTCATTTAATATAACATACTTAGCTCATTGCTATAAAGAGCAAAGTACATTTTTTGCTCTTTGCCTTATTTCTCAGAGTAAGAAGCAAAAACGTGTATGAAAAACTTCTTTTTCTTACCCAATACGTCATCATTAGCTTCATTTCCGACTACTTGTGGTTGGATTTATGAATCTTTTTTCTCTGTTCATTCCTCTTAAGTGTTGCATGGGGTATCAGCTCTATTTTGTAGTTTTTTGTTAGTTTAAAAATCACGTATGAGTATTGCCTAAGGTATCAACATTATTTTGCAATTCCCTTTACATTAATTATTAGAAAACACAAAAAAATTGTTGAGAACTTTATACGTTTTGGTTATTTGCAATAGTTTGTTGGATACTTTTTGTAAATTGTCTTGCAAGTATATGAAGCTCGGTGATAATTTTAATGAACTTGGGAAGATAGGGAATATCTTGCAGGCGAGCACGTGCAAGAGAGCCATACATCCACTTAATATATTCCTTTGCAAGCATATGAAGCTTGGCGAGATTTAATGCACTTTGACACACACGGAACATTTTACATGAGAGCATATGTAAAATAATCATACATCCACCTAATTAATATTCTAGGATTTAGTTTTACTCCGTGTATTAGTTTGACAATATTAAGAAAGTGCCATACTTGGTGCACAAAATTAGCCCCAATAATTTGTCTAGCGAGATATTGTTTTAGGTAATTAATAAGTCACGAGCTACTCAACAAGATAGTTGTATTGAGATATAAACATCATATTAACTTAGAAAAATAATTCTATAGATAGAAGAATGTGATTCAAATCTCTCGAGGCTTCATTGTTACCATGATAACTTGATAAAAATGTGAAACCAAGTAAGCATTCTTCCCGTATTTTTTGACTTAGTTTATGATGGTCATATTTTAGTTTTTAAAGTTCATTTCATTTTTTTGGATCTTATTTCATGGCATTGATGAGATAATATGGATGAGATGAATTGACATATTGACGCTTTGATGAAAATATATTTCTCTCATAATCTTATGTTTCGTGCCTACACCAACATACATTTATAACCTTTTGTATCAGCGGACTACGATACAAGAATAATTCCAATTGCCCTTGATGGACACCATATGCTAATTGCTAATTTCTACAAAAATAATTTTAAAGAAAATTTCATTACATTTTCAATCAAGTTGATCAGGTCTCCAACATCCTAATTTGATTGATTATGCCAACAACAACGACAACTACAACAAAACTATATCCCAATAAGTGGGTCGGCTACATGAATCCCTTTTCTCCATTGTGCCCTATTATGTATGAGCTTCATATTTTTCATTTAGTTCTAATAAATTAAGATCACTTTTTATACAATAAGCACAAGTCTTCCTAGGTCTACCGCTGCCTTTCTTAATATAAATCAAATCTAAAAATCTACTCTTCTATCTCCTAACCGGATGATCAGATAGTCGACGTTTAATGTGACCAAACCTTCTAAGATGATTCTCTCTAATCTTGTCTGCCACTGGAGCCACACCAACCCTTTCACAGATAAATTCGTTTCGTATTTTGTCTCTAATTGTCAAGCCACTCGTCCACCTTAGCATTCTCATCTCAATCTCATCTCAACAACACTTAATAACAACACTTAATTTTGTTTTATGCTCCTCTTTTAAAGGCCAACATTCTGCACCATAAAGCACTGCGGGTCTCGTCGCCATCTTATAAAATTTTCCTTTATCACACAATAGGCCCGATGCATTCCTCCACTTCAACCAACCAACTTGAATTCTACTAATAACATCTCTTTTATATTACCATCACTTTGAACAATAAACCCGAGATATCTAAAATATTTACACCTTTTAAACATTGATCACCCATAGTTACAATCCTGCCACTATAGCTAATACTACTAAAATATTCAGATTTATATCTACTTGAACGAAGGCCTTAAAACTCCATTAGATGCCTCCATAATTCAAGATTTTCCCGAACTTCTTCTCCAGTCTTATCCACAAGAAGGATATCATCAATAAAAAACATACACTGAGGTACATCCTCCCATAAATGTCTAGTAAGATGGTACATCCTCCCATAAATGTCTAGTAAGAGCATCCATAACTAAAGCAAAAAGATATGGGCTTAAAGCCGATCTCAGATGTAATCGAATTGAAATAAAAAAAAATACTTGCTCAATCGTCCTTCTGTTCAAACACGAGTAACATCTTTAGTATACATATTTTTAATGACTTGAATATAAATCATATCAACACCTTTTATTTCTAGAACTCTTTAAAGGACTTCTCTTGGAACCTTATCCTAAGCTTTTTATAAATCAATAAAAATCACATGTTGATCCTCTGTACTTCTCCATCAAAGCTCTCGATAAATGTATAGCTTCCATAGTAAATTTCTATGCATAAATCCAATCTGCTTATGAGAAATTTTTCTATCACGTATTAAACTATGTTCAATTGCACTCTACCCTAATTTTAAACTATGGTACATTAATTTGATTAATTATACCTACATTATATATTTTTATTCTGTCCATGTGGACCACAATTTTATTCACTTTGATGTAATTTCATGAATTAGGATACATTATTTATATTTTATGAAATAATGGTAGATTTATTATTTCCTTTAGGATTTTATTAAACTTCAAACTACCATGGCATTTGGGTAAGTCTCAAAGATTATTTTTGGTCTATAAGTAAACCTTTAAAATGGTATTAGACACTAAATGAAAAGTTTATGATTTTCATGTGTAATTTATCATGCTTGATGCTTTACTCGATTTCATACTCTTGAGTATTTTTCCTCTTTCCAATTATTAAATTATCTCTTCCATCATACTCACCCTCTCTCTCTCTCATACTTATTTAATCTTTTTCTTCTACTGAAATCTTCCATGAAGTAAAACGCAAAAACATCCTTCATTCATTTATTCTGAACCCATTATCTTTAAGAAATTATAATAAAACACCCATTTATCTTTTATTTGTTATATAGCTCTTCTGTCTATATATAGCAGATAAAGACCTTCAAATCCCCCTATTGATTTCTTTGTTATCGTAATCTCACCCCCCTCCGGCTCCCCGTCTCCCTCAATCCCAAATACAAGCATTCTTTTTCGCTACTTTTCCCTTATAAATAATTCTCTTTTCTTAATTCAAAGCTACTTTTTCTTTTTGAATGCCCCACCTCTTATCTCTCTTTAACCTAAGAAGCATATCAATTTCTCCATGTATTTCTCTAAAAGTTAATGCCTACTATTCATCCCAAACTTTGGGTAAATCGAACCCGACATACTTAGTTAGGCCTTAATCTGCCTAGTCCGTAAGCCCTTTATTTTTTTTTAATTAAAGTGAATGCCCATTTAACTTTGATCTTTTACCTGATATTCTTAATTTATGCCTAACTTATTAATATATGTTGTATTAGTTTCTAATAAAATTGGGCAATTGTCTAAAATTTTATAAACATTTTAAGCAAATGAAAATAAGATACAACTCTTCAAATGCTCTTTAAGTTAAGATGCATGCCAATTTCTCCATTTATTTCTCTGTATGTTAATGCCTACAATTCATCCCAAAATTAGGGTAAACTCAACTGAACGCTAACAACAGGTGAAAGCCTTTATCCAACTAAGTGGGGTCGGCTATATGAATTCTTTTCTCCATTATCTCATGTTGAGTTTCATATTTTCATTTAATTATAATAAATTAAGATAATTTTTTATACAACATACCCAAATCTTGTTAGATCTATCTTTATCTTTCTTAGCACAAGTCAAATCTAAAACATCTATTATCCTAACAATGTCATCAGATGGCCAACGTTTAATGTGGCCAAATCATCTTAAGGCGCGTCTCTTTATTCTTGTGTGCCACTGAAGCTACTCCAACCCTTTCATAGATATATTCGTTTCAGAGTTTATCTCCAAGTGTAAAATCACTCATCCACATGAGCATTCTCATCTCAACAACACTTAACTTAATTTTATGCTTCTCTTTTACATGACAATATTCTGCGCCATAAAGAATTGCAGATCTTACCACCTTCTTATAAAATTTTCCTTCAAGTCATAGCGGTATTTTTCTACCACACAATAGACCCTATGTATTCCTCCGCTTGCACCATCCAACTTGAATTCTATTGATAACATCCCCATCTATATCACAATCACTTTGAACAATAGACCCGAGATATTTAAAACCTGCATTCTTTTTAATGACTTGATCACACATTGTTACAACCCCTCAACTAGATCTACTATTACTACAATTATATTCCATGTATTCAATTTTAGATCTATTCAAACATAAGTCTTTTGACTCAAAGTTGACTCTCACAATTCAATTTTTTCATGAACTTTTTCTCTAATCTCATCCACAAGAAGGATATCATCTGCAAAAAACATACACCAAGGTAAATCCTCTTGTACACGTCCAATCAGAATATCCATAATTAAAACAAAAATAACATGAGCTTAAAGCCGATCCCTAATGTAATCCAATTGAAATAGGAAAAATACTTGGTTAATTTTTCTTGTGTTCGAACACAAGTAACAACTCCAGTATACATATATATAATGGCTTGAATGTAAACAATATCAATATTGTTCTTTCTAAAACTTTTCAGAGTACTTCTCTTGGGACCTTATCACAAGATTTTTCTAAATTAACAAAAATCATATGTAGATCCTCCTTATTCTCTTTATATTTTCTCAGCAAACATCTCAATAAATGTATAAATTGCACAGTAGACTTGCCCGACATTAATACAATTCGATTTTGGGAAATTTGTTGTGTCACATTGTATTCTATGCTCACTTACTCTCTCCCTTAACTTTAATGTATGCCATATTAACTTAATACATTTGTAATTTGCCCACTCTTGTTTATCATCTTAATTCTTAAAATCATAAACCAATATACTTTTTCACCACTCATCGTAAATTTTTTTAGTTTTTAAAATAATATTATAAAATTTAGTAAGCCAAAAAAATTCGTAGATCTCCTAAACATTTTTTCATAGTTTAGTAATAATACCATCAAGTCCTACTTTTTGATTGTTTATGTTCTTTAAAACCTCATCAATTTCTGTTTTACTAATACGACGATGAAAATAAAAAAAAAGTTGTTTTTATTTAGGATATTAAGATCGCTAAAATCGATTGTATTCTCATAATTTTATTGAAAAGTTTATCAAAATATCTTATTCACTCATGTTGAATATCCTCATCTAAAAAAATACTTTTTGATTTTCATTTTTAATACATTTTAGTTGAACTTTCTCTTCATTTGGATAGTTTATACATTTATTTTTCACTATTTTTAGTATCTAATCTACTATAAAGATCATTAAAAATAAAATTCTTAGCATCTCAAACTGTTCTCTTAGGTTTCTTACTGACCATCTTATATTTTTTGTAATTCTCTAAGTTTTACATTTAAAACATTTTTTATTATACCTTTTTGCTATTAATTCATAAGAGTTTTTTTATTTGATTCTTCAAGTATATTTTTTGTAATTTGTTCTTTCATAAATCTCTTAAAATTTAAGATTATGAAGTTTACTTATAAAAATAACTTTATTTTTGTATTTTAAGTGTCCTCATTTAATTTTATGATAATATTTTATCATGTTTTTTATCTTTCATTCTTTCATTTTAAAATTTAAAACTAATAATCGATGTTGGGTACTTACATTTTTACTTGAAATGACCTTGCAATTCTTATAATCTCAATGATCTATTTTTCTCATAAGAAAATAATTAATATGTGTATTATTAGTTTCATTTTTATAAGTGATAATATGCTAATCATTTTTTTATATAAAATATTAGCTATAACAAAATTACAAATTAAAACAAAATTCAATAAGACTTTATCTTGTTCATTAGTCAGGTAAAAAATATAGTCACCATGAATACTTCTAAAATCTTCTACCATTATACCAATTTTTCAATATAAATTTATTGAAATAAAATTTTTTTGTTCAAGAGTTATCATTTGTATCAATTTTTCTAGGTTATTCTAAAAATTTTCTTTTAAACATATATGTAAATTTATTTGGGGAGCATAAACACTTATAGTATTAAAGATCTTATTAAAACAATAATTATAGAGCTATAATTGCATCTCTAATTCTACTAAATTTTTATAATATTATGTTTCAAACTATTATCTATAATTATACACGCACCATCTCTAGTACGACTCCTACCTGAATACTAAAGTTTGAAACCTAAACTATCAATTTCCTTAGTCTTCTCTTTAAATCATTTTGTTTCATGAATGCATAAGATTTTATCTTCATATGAATCATAATAGCCACCAATTTTATTAATTTACTTATGAGAGTACCTATATTCCAATTTTTATGGTAATATTATTTTTATGGACTAACTTCTTTGACCGTATTTCTCTATAATTAGGTAAATTGAACCCAATATACTTAATTAGACTTTAATCTGCCAGTCCGGAAGCCCTTTTTTTATTAAAGTTAATGTCCTTCCAACTTTTATCGTATATTGATCTTTTTAATCAATGTCTCAATTACTTTATTAAAATTTTTTGTATTAGTTTCTAATAAATTTGGGCAATTGTCGAAATTTTTTTAAACATTTTAAACAAATGAAGTGAAGATACAACTCTGTACTAAATGCACTAGATTTAATCCGATGAACCATTTTCTGAAGTTCAGTTCTTTATTTTAGAAAGACATGTCTCGGGTTCACCCCAAATTAGGTTGTATAAAAAAATGCCTTAAATATCAATCATTGTAGCAATAGTGAGATTCACTCCTTTTTTATTTGAGGGGTACACCTTAAGTCTTTCATGCTTCGAGACATTTGGGACGGCGCCTCAATAAGGCCGTGTAGAAGAATATATTATATATATTATATTATTTTATAATATTAACATATATTATATTATGTTATATTTATGTAAAAAATACTTATAAAATGATAATTTAAGTTTAATGAATTTCATGTTTTTGTTGTTTTTTCTTATTTTATTTTAAATATCATTGAATCCGATGTTATGTAATATAAATACTAAAAAAAAAGTAATGATTGAAAAAGATTTGAAAGAACAAATTATAACACACCAAATTCTGCACAATACTTGGTCCCATAAAGTATTTAGTTGTTCAACTGCGGACAAGTGACTGTTATATTTTCAACTTTTGGTACAATTATTGTTTGTTATAGTGGTGTTTGGCCCAACCAAATTACTTAGAGCCAATGCTTGTCTCTTAGAACTCGTCTAGCAATCCATGAGGCGGGCATGGAGTTAAAAAGCCTTGGAAAGGATTAGTTTGTCTTTTGTTGAGGTTTGCAGTTGCTCAGGTGAGGATGGAAGTGGTTGGCTAATGGAGGTTAGTGAAGGGGAAAAGGGGACGAAATGGAGTTGGGGAAGAAGGAGTGCACACAATGGGATTAGGATGTTATTCGTGGATGGAGTCTGCCATTAGTATTAGTAGTTGTAGAGAGTAAGAAATAGCTATAAGAAGAATTTTTCTCCAATTTTTTTCTTAGTCTTCATAAGTACATGGAGCTTTACCTTATATAAACACTAGAGTTACACTAGATGAACTATTAAGGATAAAAGTTTTTCTAGAAGCTCAACTTATTTTAGTTCCTTTGGATTCAGATAACTGCCTATACTTTCAAGTGGAGTTAGCAGGTTCTTTCATACTTTAGCTGCAAATTATCTGTATTTTTTTGGTAAGCTATCAAAGAAACGCCATCTTGATTTATAATATTTTTTGTTGTAGATTAGTCAATTTAGTTGTTGATTTGACTTGCGTAATATGCGCTGCAGTAAATTTATAGTTATTTTGCTAACTATATTACATTTTATTGGTATGCATGCAATTTTTCATTTAAAAGGCCCTCAATTGCCAAAGAAGATCCGAGCTCTTGCTTCCAGCCGGGACTATACTTTCGTTGCATATGGAACGAATATTGGAGTTTTTGAGCGTGCTGATCAGGTTCGTATTGGTTGATATCTGCTATTGCTTGTTCTAGTCATTATTTCTATGGAATGCATTAATATTCACATTTTTTAAGATAGGGATTGAAGAGTTGCATGTAAACTAAAACCAAGGATATATGCATGATATGTTTGAATAAGTTGTCCTGTATAGAGAATGAACTATTTTTGAATGAGTTTTTCTTCATAGAGGATGAAATATTAAACACAATTGTCAATGTATGATTATGAAGCGAAGCATAGACAAAGTTAGGATGGATTTTACATACAAATGAAAATAAGAAAATCTTCTCCTATAAAGCAATAGGAAAGTTAAAGATGCTACAATCATGAATCACTTTTTTGTTTGTCTGCTATTGTATCTTACAAACTCAGTCTCATTTTTTTAACTGCAATAAATTTCTGGCCAGATGTATATTTAGTAGGTGCTGGCAATGTGGATTTTTTTCTTTGCAAATATGTTTGTTTTATTATTATATGCACAATGTTTTTTTATACCATCATAATCACGTGGGTTGACAACCATGCCTATCCCAATCATCATAATTATGAGTGTCAAAATAGTCCCCCTTACTGTTTACATGGGGCCATTTTACTCTCAAAGCTCATAAAAGTGCCAAATTAGTCCCTAGATTTTTTAAATTGGGGTTGAAATAGACTATTTCTGCCCATATTAATCGAGTATGGGTACTAAACTGACACTTTTGTACTCTGGGATTAAACCGACGACTTTTTGGACAATTTAGTCTCATAATTATCTCTTTAAGATCTGAAGTATTTGTGATTAAGTTTATAATATTTTCTTCTTCATTCTTGTTAATATTTATTGCCTTATAGGTTGTGTGGAGCAGAATTTTCCATCAAATATTTTTGAACTTCACAATGTCTATTTTTTCTCTTATTATTTGCACATTGGTTTTGTTTCCCTTCTTAAATGAAGCTTTTTTGTTTTACTTTTTATTATTTGCACATTGGTTCTATTTTTTTCTTATGTATTTATTTTGCAATTTTTCTTTCTAAATCCATTTTAGTTTACAATTCATGGCATTCATCAGCAGCCCTGCATTTAATCCAGTAATCATTAATTTAGGAATTTATTGTCGCCATCATTTGCCAGTTACCATGTATAATAGATCTGCAGGATCTACATTGGTTATACCTTTTGTATAGCTGTCTTTTATCTAAAAATTTGCTTTTGCATACTCTCTTCCCTTTTGCTAATTTTATAGTCAATGTTTCTCACATTTTTTAGTAATAATTAAAGCTGCAGTTTACTTAATTCAGTACCTATTAGAAGTATATTAGTGCAGAAATAAGCCTTAGAACTAATGCCATATCGTACCAATGTGCAAGGAGGATGCACATGTAGCTTTTCACAAATGTGCAACATTGTTATCGTAACATTGTGCAACTCTTTAGTTAAAATGCTGTTTTTGAGTGCTCAAAGTTAATTTTTATTTTCAATCATAAATTCAGTATCAGTTTGTCCCGACTATTGTTCATAATATGCCATACTAACTTTTTCTGGTAATATTTTAGGAAAGTTACATACCTGACACACAATTATGTGTTGGCATATCTCACACATAAATTTCATATTTAGATACATACTTTGGTGCTTTAAACCTACACATGAAAAGGTGTAATTCACTTTTATAAAGTGGTAGTATTGCTATTTTTGATGTGAAATTTAAGATTTGAGTGCCATGTGTAGGTGAGAAATGTAAATACATAAGAATTGTGTGTTATGCATATAAATGCCCCAATTTTTTATCCTTAGTGGAAGTTTTGAAAACAGTTCTCTTGTCAACTAATGTTTTATCTTCTCTATCATATTTCCTTCCAAAGATTGTGCTTGAATTCTATTTCTTTCAGGTTGCGACATGGAGCAAGCATGAGGAAAAGGTTAATTTGTTGCTTATTTTTGGAGATTATGTCTTAAGTGTTGATGTTAAAGGCAATATTTTCATCTGGCCTTTCAAAGAAATAAAGAAGAATCTTGAGGCAGCTGGCCATATAAAGCTGGAAGAAGGCTTCTTACCAACTTGTATTATACACCCAAATACTTATTTGAACAAGGTAGGTGAAGATTTAGGGCTTGTTTGGGATTTATTGTGTTTTTTTCTTTTCTTTCATTTTTAAAAATATTTTTGTTTAGTGAGCTTTTGACATGTTTTTATTTTTAATTTCTAAAAACAAGTTAATATAATTTTGAAAACACTCCAAGCAATTTTTAGGTGTTTTGAGTGTTTTTGAAAACAATCATATCTTAACCAAATATGCTAAACTAGGGGTGTCAAAAACTGACCCGACATGCCAACTCGACTTGAACCCGGCTCGAAAAATTCAGGTTATTGACTTGAATAATTTTAAGTTTGATTTGGGTTAGGGTTAGGAATCCTAACCCCTTTAATTTTTTCAGGTTGGGTTTGGGTCAATTTTGGGTTAGGCTGACACCCCTATGGCAGACATGTTCTATTCCCTATTCCAAATCAAAACATTAAACAAAAAAAAAAAGAAAAAGAAAAGAAAAGTGATCCCAAATTGCCCCTTAGTTTGATAAACTTGTTAAGATTGTTATACCAGTTAGTGATAATTCACATTTCCCTCATTATAATATCTTCAAAACATATCATGTTTAAAACAGGTCATTTTGGGCAGCCAAGCCGGTTCATTACAGTTGTGGAATATCAGCACCAGGAAGAAACTTTATGAATTTAAAGGATGGAACTCCACTGCGCATTGTTGTGTATCATCCCCTGCATTAGATGTAGTTGCTATTGGCTGTTCTGATGGAACAGTCCATGTTCATAATGTTCTTTATGATGAGGAGGTTGTTTCCTTTACCCATTCCACACGTGGTGCTGTTACTGCACTATCTTTTAGGACTGGTATGATCTTGTCCTAATGCTTTTTGAAATTTTGATTTGTTTTATTCTATCTTCTTACTTCCTCAATTTAGGTCTATCATGTTTTACGTCATTGTGAGAATGGTGCCTGTGGACATATTGAAACTATCATTCTCTAGATCATTCTTTCTCGCGCGTTAAAAGTTAGGGACATTTACATACATACAACATAATAATATTGCATTTAGATATCTTAACTTAAATATTCATATTTAGATGCATACCACTCAAGCTTTCAATATCACATCAAAAATGCCACTATAACTACTATTTAAAAGTGAAATAAACCTTTTCTTGCATAAGTTTATGACACTAAGGTGTTACTAGTGTAAATATCAAACTTTGTGTGTTCGAAATGTGTGGTATGTAGGTAAATCTACATGCCTACGTCCTAATTTTAGGTCTATCATGTTTTAGTTCTTTGTGAGAATGGTGCTTATGGACATATTGAAACTATCATTCTTTCTTGAGTGTTAAAAGTTGGGGGCATTTACATACATACCGTATATTCTAATGTATTTAGATTTCTAACACTTAAATATTCATATTTGCATGCGTACCACTCAAGCTTTCAACATCACATCAAAAATACCACCATGACTACCATTTTAAAAGTGAAATAAACCTTGTTTTGTATAAGTTTATGACACTAGGCTGTTATAAGTGTAAATGTGAAGCTTTGGGTGTTAGAATTGTGTGTTATGTATGTAAATCTTCCTATAAGTTAATTTTCTTTTAGTTATGAAAACATTTTCTATCTCTTAATTTATCTTGTTGTATTAGATGGTGAACCTCTTCTAGCATCTGGAGGGTCATCAGGTGTTATTAGTATATGGCATCTTGAGAAGAGAAGGCTTCAATCTGTCATTAGGGAAGCTCATGATGGTCAAATTACATCACTTCATTTCTTTGCTAATGAACCTGTTCTTATGAGTTCAGCGGCGGACAATTCAATGAAAGTAAGTGTTTGACTCATTCATATTGTATAAAGAGATATTTGTTTTATATTTTATTACATTTTGGTTATTCTGTGAACTATGTTCGATGTTTAATTTTATGCTTCTCTATTTTATTGTATGCATCGTTGGTTAAGTGGCCATGTTTTTTTACTATGATTCGTCCTCGTTAATAAGCACCAACTAACATTGGCATTATTAAATTAAAGGGGCATCTACATACATACCACACAATCCTTATGTATTTACATGTCTCACACATAAACTTTGATGCATAGGTTTAAAGCACCCAAGTGTTTTGTATGCCAATATGGAATTTGAGGTGTAAGATATGTAAATTCATAAGAATTTTGTCCTTAGTATGTAAATTCCCTTAATAGAATCTTTTCCCCTTGTAATTGAGATTTATTTAATCAATTAGGCAACATAAGGAATCTCTACTGTTTTTTTTTTTGGGCTGAAGGAGGTTGAATTTGATATCATGTTCATATGCACGTATTATGTATGACTATTTTCAGGGAGTTTGATGCAGATTAGGCAACATTGGGAATCTCTGCTGTTTTTATGGGCGGAAGGAGGTTGATTTGATATCATGCTCATATGCACGTATCATTATGACTATATTCAGGGAGTTTGATGCAGATAAATGAACAGTTAGCTAACTATGATAAATATAACATTCTAATGCCCAAACTTGTATGCCTTTAATGGTTGATGAGATTATTACAACCTATGTCAATGACCCATTATAATTGGGAACATGCTGTGTATTTTGCATTGGACTACAAAGGATGCCACAAGGGAATGATGCCATTTAGGCCATCTTTGATCGACTCGCCAAAAGTTTTCATATTTTGTCCATTTGCTAACTTATGATCATTGTCATAATAGTTCAAATTTATGTTGATGCCATTATTCTACTCCATTAAAATTGATGGACTTAGATGGATGGTTTACCACTTGACTATGGAAGAAATTCTAGGTTGCATGTGCACTTGATTTTATTTTCTTTGACACAGATGATAGTTTATCTCCTGACTAAGGAAACAAGTTAGGATGGTATGGGTCTCGATTTGACTTTAGCAATCTCCCCAATCAACAAGCAATTAGCATAAAGCACCTAGAGGTTGGAGGGTCTTCTCAGGATGAGTTGGCTTAATTTTGGGGCTTACTCGGAGCGACTTCTCTTTTTAATGGAGTTCACCCGTATGGATTGAAATGTATATTTCACCTCAATTGACTAGAGCTTGGAGAGAGGATGGTATTCAGTTCCCAACTAGTGAAACTGACTACTAAAAAGGTAAGGTGCTTTGACAAAGACTTGGCAAGCACTATGATTTTACAGGATATTAAACTACTTGGAGATGGAGGTCAATATGCGTTAACTGGTTGCCCCTATGTTTTTTCTGGCTTGGGTAAAAAATTTTTAGAATGAAAGGAACCAAATGAAATGTTAGCATGAAACTAATGGCTTTGCTACTCTCATAATGGTTGACAAGTTCTTCTGCAAGCCTGTTGCATATACTCCTCAAACCATAGAGGAGGTACATGTGTAATAAATTTCTGTTCCTCAAACTTTTCATGCGTAAATCAAAATTATGATTTTCCAGATTTTTGAATAAGAAAATCAATTTTGCTCAAATATTCTATGAAGCATATACACTTATGAAGGGCGCTGTTTTGCATTTTGATGCCTTTTATGCTGTGATACCTGCCTACCTGGATACTTATTCTTACCAGATAGTCTTGTTTATATAATTCAAATTTCACAAACATAGTTTGAAATGAATTTGATGTGTATTTTTTGAAACATAAAAAAGGTTGTATTGTGGTTTAAAAGAGGCATTTAGTATAGAGTGTAAAAATAGTAGTTAGTGTGTCTTTGATTATTAAGTTGATTGTCGTAGAAATGAATATACTATGATTGATATTTAAAGAGAAAAGAATAGATAGTAAACTGATTATATGAGAGCGACAAAATTTAGTATTTATTGAAAATAAGATCATGAAAAATAAACTCAATTTTGTCATATACAAGAATCTATCTAGAATGAATTTGTGAATCTTTAAAGATGCGGAAGAATATAGCTTAATGGTATGCTTGTGACCAGAATGACGATAGTAAGCTTCATGACTTTGTGTTGTAATTATTTTATTAAGAATGTGCATTATTCATAATGTACATGGATGTTTAAAACATTGAATAATTTATAATTAGTTTGAAATATATGCACTTCAATTGTTTCACTATAAGCCATAGTCCGAAGAAAGCTTTTTTTTTTTCAAAGGAAAATATATTAATGTTTTTTGTAATTTTATATAAATTAACAATAGTTTGCAATGTTCCTGAATTAAAATACATGACTATAAAATTAAACATGCATTTTTAGAAAATTCGTTGTATAATGAAGTAAAACATAAAATTTGCTCTTTTCTGATTGGGGGCGACTCACACTGAGTTTAGGAAGGGAGGAGATCCAGTCATTAGATGAAGTTTTGAAGAGTAGCAAGCAGGGTGAACCCACATTTTTGTAATGTTGTAAGAACAATAAAAACATAAAAAAAAGTTGAGTGAACTCCATAGCTTTAAAAATAAGCTTCAAACACATTATTCCTTAAGCTCATTTAAATTTTTTTTTTGAGATTTATATTTTGAAGGCTAATTAAGCGAGCTTTGAACTCAAATTTTTTTTAAGATCTTGTTGTATTTGCATCCTTATATGGTGTCTTTAGATTAATGAGTTTTTTTCTGGGTCATGTTTTTTAATTTCTTGATGATGTTCATATCTTTTTAACCTCTTTTCAATCTTCATTTAAGAGGATTATGGCCTCATTTTTTCTATGGTTATTGATGAAGTTGTTTGCAATTTTAAACCAATTCTCGTACTCTAAACTTTTTATTTGTAGATGTGGATTTTCGATACGACAGATGGAGATGCTCGTCTATTGCGTTTTCGAAGTGGGCATAGTGCTCCTCCGTTGTGCTTAAGGTCATATAATTATCAATTTTTTATTTTGTAGATATTTCCTAATTGCCTGGCTTGTTACTTGAATTTGTTCAACTTCTTTTTTTCTTGCAAGCCTTTGTTGATGACTCTATTAGTCTTTACCGTTCATCATGCATGTCAATGTAGATAAAGAAACTTTGGTGTCCAGCTATTTATGTTATCTTTTTGGATTTATATTTTCTTAATGATTTGGTAGCTGGTATGGCGCATATATATACAAAAAATTGAAGGTAAAAATGGGCTCACTATGGTTACATGGCCTGTAAAGATACGAACGCGTGGCACCCATATTGTTATTGGCATTGATAAATATACTTTACAGAAGTGCAACTATCCGTCTTACTACCTGTATCAAATCACAAAAAATATATTGGGGAATTTACATGCATACCACACAATTCTTTTCTATATTTATATCTAACACCTGAAGTTTAATATTTTAGACGCATAACATTTTGGTGTCATAGCCTATGATAAAAAAATGTGTATTTCACTTTTACAAAGATTGCAGTGATACCTCATTATGGTATTTTTGATGTGAGATTAGGGTGGTCTGCATGTAAATAAGAATGTTTAGGTGTTAAATACGTAAATATATAAGAATTGTGTGAGATGTATGTAAATGCTTATAATATATTTCTGGGCGTTCACATTAATTTTAAGGAAAAAAATTAACGCAATAAATCACAATATGTCATGTCATGTTTGTCAAAATGTGAATTATTCCACTAAAAATTAGAATGTTTATGCCAAGGTCCATACCATAAAATATACAATGAACTACCAATTTAACCCCTCTACTCATGCATGAGTGAATGGGTCGGGATTTTGAGACAAGCTGGAGCCAACAGCACATTGCATCTGATTCGAGAATCCCAAAAATATTCGAATGATTATACTAATCTCCTTTAGAAGTATTTGTGCTCATAAAATTTTGCAAGATGAATGGTGGGAATTGTATAATGTGGAGCATTGCTGGCTACTGCATTTTGATGGTTTTTTATCATGTTGGTGTTGATTTTGAGACGAGTCTTCAAGGAGCCCACATTTATAGGACCTTGATTATTTTTTAGGGAAATTTGCATACACAGCACACAATTCTTATGTATTTACATATATCACACTTAAACTTTCATATTTAAATACGTACACTTTGGTGCTTTAAGCCTATGCATGAAAACGTGTATTTCACTTTTAAAAAGTGATAAGAGTGCTATCTTTGATGTGATATTAAATGTTTGAGTGCTACGTGTATAAATATGAAAGATAGCACTATTATCCCTTTTTAAAAGTGAAATACACATTCTCATATGTAAATGCATAAAAATTGCGTGCTATGTATGTAAATGCCCCTACTTTTTAATGTGCCAATATGTGCTTTGTGGTACATTTAGACAATAGCTGACTAATAAAGACTCTACAGTAAAATTATTTTATGCCTTATATATCAATGAATCAAGTCATGGGTGTGGTATGCATAGTATTGTCTTGTTTAAGCTTGTCTTTTTTTTTTTTTTGTCGATCTTGAGTATATTTCAAATTTTAATATCTTCAAGGCTTTTTAATTTTTTGGAAGATTTACATGCACACCACTTGATTCTTATGTACTTGCATGTCTTACACCTAAAAATTCATATTTTGACATATTTATTTACTTTTTAAAAGTTAAATTAGTGACATTTTTGATGTGATACAAAAGAGTTGAGTAGCGTAAATGTAAAATGTAAAGTCTTTTCTGTCAGATATTTAAATACAAAGGATTGGGTTGTATGTATGTAAATGCTCCTAATTTTTTTTGGGGCTTGGAAACAAGTTTGAGCTTGGCTGAAAGAAGTTTTAATTAAGACATTGATGATTAAATTAGTTAGATAACTCATCATCTAATATGATACTATTCGTATGTGTTTTTAAAGCTTTAGATAATTCAGTAGGTTTGCTCTTTGGCGCTAAAGAAATCGAACATATAAACCTTTGATGGAATTATTAATTTACTTGATCTTTGTATACATTTTATGACACAGGCGTTTGTCTGTATCTGGATCGGTTTGGTCCATATTTCCTGAGGGTCTTCCGGTCCCCTAATTATCTTGGAAGTGCCGCCCAATGGGGGTGATGCTTCGGCTATATCTCTGTCCTGCGGTGGTGTGTACTCTTTATATATCCGTACCCATCCCCTTTTCATACCGGTTTCCTTCCCCTAGCAGCTCCATCGCTGCCGTGCTCTAAATAACAACAACGGTACTGTTTTTTCCCCTCCATCTTGCTGAAACAGCTATCTGCTGTTTGCTTCTTCCTCCTCCTTGCTCCATCCTCCGATCTGCCTCTACCTTGCTGTCCCTGCTTGCCAACCGCCTCTTTCCACCTCCCCGCCACCTTCTAGTCCCCTAGCTGACACCACCTTCACCTTGGATTATCCTAAGTCTAATGTTGTGTTTTGTTTTCATTGCAACTTTAGATTTCCACTATGTTTTATTATAATTTCAGATTTGAAGTCAGTAATAATATTTTAATGCAGGGGCTGGAGAGCTGATCTGGTTGAACCGGTTCA